TGACCAGAAGAGGTTATGGAGAGGTACAAGATCATGTATGCCTCTGTGAGAATCCATTGCAAGGACATCAAAACTTCTAGACTGTGGCCACAGCCTGCTCCCACTGAGTCTGCAGACCCCAGTATGTTACTTTTACTTTTTCTTTCGTGAAGGAAAAGCCATCTTCTCTTCACGTAGCAGATGGCTCCTCATGCTTTTCCATTAACTGGCAATAGTTTAGGAGTAGATGGAGAAGATAAATCCACTTCCATGAGAATTTCAAGTTCTTCCCATCAACACCTTTCTGAAGGCAAGGATACAAGGAGCAAAGCTCATATTAGTGCTTCAGTGAGCTCCCCACACTGGCTATACATTGAGGGTTTTCAACCAAAAAGTCAACAGTCTTGTCTGAACTGACCCTGCTCTTTCCTCCAGGACCTTTATTTGCCCAGGCAGCCTGAAATTCTGCCTTTCATATGGCAGGACCCTATGTTGCATGACCACCTCAGCCTCTTTGCTGAGGTATCTCTGTTTATCAAATGGTTATTTTCTGTCTTCAAACCAAACAGCCACTGGATGTAGTTACCTGGAAATTATTCTCCCTCTCAATAAATGTATGATCTCTACAGCTTCTGTAAAAATGGTCTAATTGGGCTGAATGAGGTAGAACCTAGAGGTAGATATCTGGCCCTACTGAAGGGAATGGTAGAATTTACCTGGCCTTGAGAAAGACAAGGATTATAATCTTGATATATTCAGTTATCCTAAAATACTAGGCTGCCTTAAACCTAGATTGGCCTTTGAATCAGGAGTGTATAGTTCTGTGCACTTGCTCACACACTAACAAAGCACTATCGTTTCCTGCAATTCTCATTTTTCTACGGTCTTGCAGAAATTCTCTGCTGTATGCCAACAGCTCCCTCCTGCCAGGAATCCCTGCTTTGCTCAAAAAATATGTTCAGTTTTTAAAAATTGATGAAGTAGAATCGTAGCTCGGTTTTCCGAAACCAAATCTGCCAGCCCTGTATGAGTGACTCAGGTTCACATACTGTCTTTCAAATGACACTGCACATACAAGTGAGATTCCTATACTTAATGCAGTATGAAACTCAGAAAGCTAAAATTATAATGGAATATTCAAATATTAGTGAAATTAAATGTCTCAATCCACCTTTTTGCCGTCCTTTTAGAAAATGTTGTAATTTTTAGTCCAGGACCTGCTGATAATTCAAATTCCTTTGTGCCCTAAGAGGATATGTGCCTCCTCCTCTGCTCCAGGCGTATATTTAGCAATGGGAGGTGCCTTCCATTAATATCAACCTGTCAAGTACGCACTGCAAGTTAAGTAACCCTGGAACTAGCCCATGAATGTGTTGACCATCACCTCCTGGCAGACCTGCAGGCATCCAGTCCTTCCAAATATCTATGTACATAAACTGTTTACCCTTCTCACTCACCTGTGTTGTTGCCAGTTAACCCATCAGATTGCATTGTTAGTGATGCCAAAAGATGCACAGAAGAAAACCAGCAAGCCAATCAGTTGGGTACTGTGTGAAGCTTTGAAACTAGGTGAAGCCAGTGCTCATATTATTTGAATTTTTAGCAGATTGACAGCTGCTGTTCAGAGGCTCCCTGGCAGCTGTCTGGCCAGCAATATGCCACTGCTATGCTTCTAGTCCACATTGTCTGAATCAAAGGAGATCTGAATGACAGTGTTGACATAAGTCACACCAGCAGCTTAGAGGACAGGCAAACCTTGGAGGAAGAAACAGTCTCTTGGGTATTAACCAATCTACTTTTTTACTTGAATGTGTAGAATGCATTTTTGCCTCCCTTGCTTTCTATAATACACCTCCTGGGCATATGCTCTTTACAGTAAACCCTCACAGTAATGGAGCCAATTACTTAGCTTTCATACAGGACTAAGGACACCCTTGCTGTCAGTAACAGAAGAAACAGGCAGAAAACATAATGAACAGGTCCATGGTTCCTCTCCAGTCCCTTTCTGTAGGCTTGGTTCTCTAAGGTCCTTTCCCTGAAGCTCATGGCTCATTCTCTCAAGTAGAGAGACTGACCTAACCTTGTTTCTCCAACAGGCTAACCCCTCAAATCTTCTTTC